TTTCCCCGCCCCGCCCCCGGGGGGTGTAACAAGAAGGAAAAAAACCCCCCCCGGTGTTGGGGGGGCCCCCCAAGAGGGCCGCTCCCGGGCTGAGCATTTGCTGCATCTCTTTTCCAAAGTCAGCGTTACTTCTTCTGTAGAAAGCAGCGGTTTCTCTCTCTCTCTCTCTCTCTCTCTCTCTCTTCCTTCCCCCCTCCCCTGCCCAAAAGGACAAATGATGAAATGTTCAGTATGCTTGATTATAAACGCTCTGGCCGGTAGAGAGAGAGAGAGAGGAAAAAAATGCAAAAGCGGAAGAGATGAGCTTGGCTGTTTTTAATCTCAGGAATTCTTCTAGTTAGGATACTAGGATTTAGTTTTAAATCATTACAAATAGTGTTTTTGTTTTACACTGTGATTATGACAAGCAGTTGTCCTGGGGATCACAGTATTACCTTTTTTGTGTGTGCAGCTGTGAAGACTTGAAAGGAGTCATTTAGGCCACCCTAAATCTAACTTCTTGCTAGTGCTAGAATCCAAATTAAAGCATCTTGGCAAATGGCTCTGCTTGTGGAGAGCTTACCTCCCCAACACTTACTTCAGTAGGTGCTGAATTGCTCTTGTTCCTAGGAAGCTTTTTCCAAGCTTTCAGCAAAATCTTCCTTCCTTTGTCAAGATCTTTATTCCATTGTTGGCTGTCTAGGGTAATAAAGGACAGACCTTAGCTGTGGCAACCCTTCAGATATTTGAAGAGAACTGTCATTTTCCTAAAGTCCTCTCTTCTTAATGCTAACATTTAATATTGTTTAACATTAAATATCAATGCTTAATGTTTCTTCTCTTCACTGTACCTTTTCCAGGTATTGTATTATTATTGTTGTTTAATTAAATTTATATGCCACTTGACTCCCAGCAACTCTGGGTGGTTTACAATTGTTAAAAGCATTTTTTAAAAAAAGAACAATAAAAAAACACAAAAACAGCACAAGGCAAAAGAACAACGATGGCAAAGGAAGCAAACTTGGCAGGGAACGAAAAGAAAGAAAGGAGCATTAGTTGTCCTCTGCAAAGGCCTGGGTAAACAGCCAGGTCTTTAAGAGCCTTCAAAATATCAGTAGGGTGGGAGCTGTTCAGATTTCAGGGGGAACCTCGTATATATCTGGAAAACATGTACCTTTAGATCATATGTTGTCTGTCACTCTCTTAGTCCATAATCCACAGCCTCTTGGGTTCATTGTTCTTATTGTGGCTCATCTTCTTTGTCTAGAGCAAATGTGTTCTGTGGAGGATCCAGCTTCCTTGTTGCTTTGTATTCTGTGCAAATTTTATCATGAACTATTTTAAAAGTTGCTTCATTTCCTGGGTTTGGGCACAATGCATTTTGTTTATTTATTAGATTTCCATTCAAGGCAGCATATATCACACTCCTTTCTCCAAGTTTTCCCCAAACACCTCTGTGAGATAAGTTGGGCTGAGAGTGTGACTGGCTCATAGACACCCAGTGAACTTCCATGGCTAAGAGTGGATTTGAACCTGGGTCTCCCTGGTGTCAGTTGAACAACTTAGTCACTATCTCATGTCTTTTCCCATTATGAAATGGGAAATGGCTACAGATCCAGGCAATTGGGCTGTAGAACCCTGTTTAAGTCTTGCACTGAAAAGATAAATGTATTATTGAGGTAAGTTTGGCTCCTACTAACTATTTGGACATATCTATACAGTTTTCTTAGCAGCATTGTAGCAGTTTTCTTTCCTGATGTTTATTCTACTTATTAGTCAAGCCTTCAGCCCTTGAATTTCCTGATGGTCTCCCATCCAAACATTAATGAGACCCAACCCTTGTTACTTTCTGAGTCTAGGTTAGCTAGATGCTACCACCTACTGAGGGAACCTTGTAATATCTGATTCTAGGTAAATGTGGATTTCTTTTAACCCAGAAACAAATACAAGTATTCAGAACTAGCTGGCCAATTAAAGCTTACCTATACAGGATTTTCTTCACTTAACTTGGAATTGAGCCCCTTCCTGACTTCTCAGAATACACTTAGCTAGTTTTATGTACTTGAGCTGCTTGTGGTAGTTTTTCTCTTTGTGTAACTCAGTTTAGTTTTATATTTTGTTTTGACAGTTGCCTCAGCATTGGGTTTTTGTGTGGGGGTGCGGTTTTTTTGCACGTGATGCTTCTCAATCTAGCCTACCCCACAGGGGTTTTGGAAATGCTACATAGGCTGACTTGAGTCCCTGGAGGAAAGGCTGGATGTAAATCAAGCAAAATTAACTGTTTTGGTGTCAGTATACTGAATCTGAAGGTTATCTACATATTTGGCTGGGAAAGGATGCTACCTTTTTCACTATACCTCTATCTATCTATCTATCTAATGGATGAGACAGTGATGTTATTGGGGGAATTTTAGTTTTAACCCCCTTTTGCCATTTTTCAGGTGCTTTGATATGATTATTAGCAAAATACCCCAATTAAGCTTACTGGAGACTTGATGCCGTGTGTGTGTGTGTGTGTGTGTACACACACACACACACACACACACACAACATATGGCTTGTTGTCAGATTATATTGGGGGGTTTGAGATTTTCTAAAAAATAGGCCCATGAGAAACAACTTGCTACCCGCCGATTGCCCACCCATGCTTTATTTAGCATAATGAATTGAAAGATAGTTATCCTTGTGTTTTTGTTTTTACTTTATAGCCACCCCTGGAAGACTGTTACTACAGCTGCTATGCAGAAATACCCAAATCCCATGAATCCCAGTGTAGTTGGAGTTGATGTTCTGGATCGGCATGTAGATACTAATGGAAAATTACATAGCCACCGGCTGCTTAGTACAGAATGGGGAATGCCATCTATTGTAAAATCAGTAAGTATCATACCAAGAGTTGGGCTTTCAGCAGTTTTCTCTGAATGTTTGTCATATGACTTTGATTTTATAAAATGTAGCATAGTGCATTTATTGTAGCATCTTGCATTATATTTTCTTTAGAATTTCTGACATTATTTAAGACCCAAAGGGCGGATATTTCCATAATTGAGTGGTATTCAGGATTTGGAATAGATCAGATTCTCACAGAAAGTTATTACTGCCCCTTTCATTTAGTATTTTATAATAAAGGTAACTGGTACATGGGATTGTACAACAGCTTTTTGTAGCTGATGAATGAGTTCATTGTTCCTGTTACATCACAAACAACAGCATGTTACAGAAAATTGAATTGCTTTATTGTTCCTTTTTTCCTCAGATTACACCCCTTGTGCTATTTGAGACAGCATGAAAATTAGTTGGTTAAGTAATTTAGATTTTAGCAACATATTAAATATCAGGATCATTTTTATACAAATGTCAATTTAAATACAAAAAATGTTCTATAAATTGAGAAATAAATGTTAGTTTATAAATACGTATTTATAATTTATATATTTCTATATATTTATACCTATATTAATTTCTGTAGAATTTAAATAGAAAATACTGGAGAGAGTTGCATAACTAGGGCATTTCTTATAAAATTTTTATTGAACATTTTTACATAGATAAAAGATAAACATAAAAGTATATAAAGAAAAGTTAGAAGATAAAAAAAAGTGCAAAAGGTAACACAGGAAAAAGAAAAAAAGAAAAAGATAATTAAAGAAGCGACTTCCAATCTTCTTTGCAGCAACTACAAACTTATCCCTCCTCCCTCTTAATATTACATTACAAAGATCTCTTCTATCCCATATTCAACCCTTTTTTCAATCAGCAAATCCAGAAATCATCATTTCACTTTTTTCCATTTTCAGCAAAAACTCCATAAAAGGTTTCCAGTCTTTGGTAAAAATACTTATTGTTTTATCCCTGACCAGGCAGGTCAGTTTTGCCATTTCTGTTAATTCTGCCATCTTTACAGTCTATTCCTCCATTGTGGGTACATAACTAAGGCATTTCCAACATACACGTCATAGCTCCAAATGGATGACTGAATTCCGTGCAAGTATTAGGGGTGTGTGTATATGATTCACATATTTGATTTGAAAGAGATTCAGTCAAATCAGATTTAGAATAGGCAAGTTGCTTCAAATCAGGTGCTTTGTAATAAATTGTAATGACTTCTGCACATGTGGAGAACCTTTTTTTTTAATAATTCAGTTTGAATTTCCAAATCAGCTTTCTGAACCAAGTTGAAAGACTGAATGAGATTTTACCTAAACTGAATTTTGCCTGATTTGTACACTCCTAATAAAATATTCTTGGAATGAACACACTCACTCATTCACTTTTTTGTAGTCAATCTCTCTTTAAATATAAAAAGAAACTCTGCGAATGAGACAGGTTCATACTTTTTTCCTTTCCTACTCAGAACTAAATAAAATTCCAGTTTCTGATTTTAAGTGAACCAGTGTTTCTGTGACCTTAAGTATTAAAATATGTTAAGAATAAGCCAGGATCAAGCCATTCCTTCAGATTCTTGCTTGTTCTTATTGTTCTGAATCATGGATTCATACATTAATTATGGTTGGTTTAAAACCCAAAGCAAAACTTTTGATGTAGAATATGAAACAGGATAAAGCACATGCAAGATTGTTTATGCATAGCAAAGGAACAGGGAGCCTATAGCCCTCCAAATATTGCTGAGCCATGCTGCTAAGGCTATAGGAAGCTATGGTCTGTCAATATCTAGAGACCAATAGATTCTTCATCCATAATTCACTGGAAACTATAGTTTTTTACTAGGTTTGTACTTAACAACTAATAGTTGAATTTCTTGAAATCAGTTCTCACTTTTGGGGTTAACAGCCTTCATGGATTGGGCCGTGCTCATTACTATGAACAGAAAATAAGAATAAAAATTTCTAAGGAATTTGCTCCATAGTTGAAACTTGTTCTGAAATTATCTAATTACTCTTTCAATGGAAAAGCCATTAAAATGTTTCAGTTAATTACAATTTAAAAGCGGGGGGTAGAGAATCAGGAAAATCCAGTTTATATTTTAAAACAACCTTTAAGGAAGGGGGACCCAATGCAAGAAGAAAACTCTAGATTGTTCCTTCTTTTATTTCATGTGCCTGAAATAGTAATAATGTTAAGCTCTTGATGCTATGCACATGTCACAATGCACATAATGCTACATTTGTCTTCTAGCTTATTGGTGCTTGTAGAATGAGAACCTATGTACAAGAGCACTCTGTAGTTGACCCAGTTGAGAAAGTAATGGAGCTCAAATCTACTAATGTAAGTATTACAAAAATGGTTTAACTTAGACATTTCTAGTAGACCTAATTCCTGTACCTTCATACTTCTAAGTTTACCTCTTCAGAGGTGGCAGAACACTAGAAAGGTTTGGTGGCACAGATACTGTGTGCTTTTCCTTCTGAAGTCCTTAGTATTTCAGATTGTATCAAGCAAGTACCCATTTTGTACCTTGTAAAATTGACAGTCTTTTCTAAAGTGACGTCCTTCCAAAGTGAAACAAATTACTTCATTATTGTGGCTTTCTTTCCATATCATAGTGCATTCATGTATCATGTAGTCTTATAGAAAAGCACAATGAAGTCTCTATTTGAGGAAGCCAGTGTAATCTATCTATTAAATTATGCTCTCACAAGTTAATTGTGTTCACTGAATTACTTTTTAATGCTGAGGCTTACTGCATAAATTAAATTTCTTGTAGATTTCATTTACAAATCTGGTGTCAGTAGATGAGCGACTGATTTATAAGCCACATCCTCAAGAGCCAGAAAAGTAAGTAATGTATTTTCAGTATTTTATTCTATATATCTTTATTGTATGAAACACTTCAGCAAATCGTAGTAGGTCATTTAAAAATAATCAAAACCTTGCTCAAGGTACATGGGCTAATAATGAAAACATATTGAATACAAGAAATATAATCTGTGGTAATTTAATTAGAACTTAAACAAATGTAAAATGCCACTTTATAGCAATAATAACCTATATGACATCTATGAATACTGAAAAGGAATCCCTGTGTTCAAACATATCCAACCCACCAGTAACTTCCTTTCCCTACCTCTTCTTAGCTGCTTCTACCACAATCAGTATGTTTGATTTTGAGATATGGCACATCGAAATGTGCCCTCTCCCCCTTTTCCAGGCCTGGCCCTCCTCTTCCCAACCCGACATTTTCTCTCCCTTTAGTCACCTCTGCTCTTGTCCTTGACTTTTTCCTGTTCTCACCTCTCCTACTGAAAATGCTTCTGCTCAGAACATACATCTTTTGACCTGGACACAGACTGTCCGAAACTGGCTGTTCTGTGCACGGAACAGCTTGTGCATAAAATGTTTTGCATAACCTTAGTGGGAGCTGTAAGCAGTGCTTTGAGGGTATTTCTGTGACGCTGGGACTCCGGTTTATGCTTCTTTTGGGATGAATAACTTTTTGTGACTGAAGCCACATTTAACATTTGTGCAGAGGGGTGGGCCATAGCACATTTCAGAATTCAAACATGGGCAAGACTGAGTTGGGGGGGGGGTCTTGATGTTTCCTTTGCTTTTTCAGTTATCAGATGCATACTGAAACACATGCTACATATTATTATGGCAGAAAACAGTACTCTTTTCAGTAATCCTTGTCAGAAGGGATTCTAATAGCCATGCACACGTGCGTGCACACACACAACCCTGGGAGTCAAAGTAACTCTGAGATTATTGGTTGCCCATTCCATACTAGGTTAATGGATCTGTGAACAATCTATCCCTGTGGAAAATGATTGGTTGTTGTTGTAATATGTGAACCTTTTGTAGGCATATGAAGAACGAAACTAGTTCCTTATTACTTTTTGAGAAATAAATTGGTAAACTATTGTCCCTTTTTTCCCATAGAACTATTTTGACTCAAGAAGCCACAATTTGTGTAAAAGGAGTTAGTCTCAGCAGTTACTTAGAAGGACTAATGGAAAATACAATTTCTTCTAATGCTAAAAAAGTACGTATTGCTAACTTACTTTGAGAGGGCAGGAGAGAATGGTGGATGAGTATCTAAACTTTGAAAAAAATGCAGAGCTTCTGCAGCGGTAAGTTGTGAACATGAAAGGGGAACTCAAATCTTCATGCAGGCTATAACTTTACTGCTAATATTGGAAAAATAACCATAACTTAAACGATGAACTTCCCTGTATGAGAGAACTGACAAGGCAGACAGGCAAAGACATCATTATATTTCTGCTTCCTTTTAAATTGGGATGGAATGGAAATATGAAATTATTAATGGCTGAATTACATTTTATGAATATTAGCCATTTCAAGCTTTTGAGGATAAGCTGAATAATTTTCTTCCATCTGTTAGTGGGGGAAAGAAAAGGAAGTAATACACCTATGAGACTAACACATATGTTTTTTCACTGTGAGCCTGTTTTGATAATATATTGCTTTTAGCCATTTAATCAAAGTTTACGACTCACTAAGAAAGAAAGATAGCAATATTGATCATATATATTGATCATATATACTGATAATAAGCATAGCTAAAAATAGCACTCAGAGCATCATGAAGAATTACACTTACCCCCAATCATCTTGAGAAGTGTTGAGGCAGAAAACTGAATCTTTTCTTAATTCAAGCATTACAGTCAGAATTATCAATGATATGAGGCCAGAAACATTCTTGCCAAGAGCAGCTGAGATTCATCCTTACAAAATGTCAAAATATGTGAAGACTTCCTAAATATTTTAGTAAATGAAATGTGGATATTTTATAATTAATTAACACAATCTGTCAAATTATCTTGAAGCATGCATTGAATTGTTAACCCAAGTGTTTACACCTGAAAGAGGCAACAACACAGAACCTGAGAAGCTTTTGCTAGCCTAATAGAATTTTTCATTATTTAGATTCTCCTTTCATATTATATTATCTATTTAAGCTATCTCTACTTAAAACTAATTAGACTTATGTAGTGTCTTCTCTTGTCAGTTTTCCCAATCACTTTAACATTTACAATGGGTAGCTTTTCCTTTGGGTTGATCTGTTTTTCCATGGTTCTACACATGACTTCTCTTTAAGGAGTTTGTTTCCTCTCTTCCTTCTGAATCAAGATATTCATGGTATTCACAGCATGATTAAAATGTATCATGATAAAAAACAAAAGGCAGCAGCCAATAGATAATATAAATCAAATGCTTCCAAAAGCCTGAGCAAACAGGACATTTTTTTAAGTGGCCTCTGAAACATGATCACCTGATCATGTTCCAGAGTTTGAGAACCATCACCCCCCCCCCAAAAAAAGAGCTTATTCTGAATATAACACACAGACATTGCACTCCTTAACCCAGTGGCTCTAAATGTTAAAGGAATACCAGTATGATTAATATTTATGATCAATCTTATTTCTATACATTATGATCTCTGAGATAATTAGACTTGTTTCAATAAAGAATATGTGTCTTTACAGGGACGTGAAGCATTGGAATGGGTAATCAGCAAACTTAATGCTGAAATAGAAGAATTCACTTCTTCAGCAAGAGGAAATATAAGATCTCCTATGGCAGCAGCAGCCTTTATGGAAGAATAGTATAGAAGCGGTACATGGGTTGTTAGGCCTGATAATTTGAAAGGAACACTTTCACACTTCCTCAAAGCTGGAAATATTTATTCTTCTACCTATTTAAAAATGGATCTGTAGTTTAGATTTTTAAATTAAAATTTTGGAGAGAACTTGCCTAAATCTGTACATGAAGGTAACATACATGACTTTCTGTTGGATTGTACATTCCTTTAAGCCGGAATGCAGGCATTCAAGACAGCTGATGTGTTTGCAGGAGTATATTCTGGGCACAGGATTTTGAGCAGTTTGTTATAGGGTTTGGCTTCGAAGAACAAACATTATTACTTGAAATATGATCCATTCTAAAACACTTTTTATAGGCTGCTTTCATGAGAGTTACAATTTGCTAACATGAAAAGTTTGATATTTAACATCTATGTTTACAGAAGCTCCATAATTTTAAAAGCTTTGTGGTATTCAAATTCTGAATTTGGCAGAAATTGCATGCTCTATAATTGGATGTGGACTAAAGGTGGCTTAGCTCAAAATTTTATAATTTCAGTTTTTCAGAGTCTCTTCTTGGTAGAGATAGTTTAATTGTTGAAAAATGCAACTTGTTGAACATATTCATTTTGATCTTACATTTTCTTGGAATCAGAATTTGTGTGATAGCTACATTCATAGGTAGAAATCACTCCTCCGTTTTAAATGAAATGCATAATCATGATTTATATATTCCAGACAACTAAAGTCTCTTAAATTGTACTTTGTTGTTTTTAACTCTTTAAGGAACAAAACAAAATCAGGGACTACATATATATCCATATTCCCCCACCTTCTATCCACAAAAGTCTAGGTGCCTCAGAACAAGTATCCCTGAATTCCATAGGTAAAACAATAGATACCTTCCAACATCAGAATAGTCCTCTTTCTTCACAGGGGAGAATATATATATTCAAAAACTGGAAAATCCAAAGGCTTTTATGTCTGTGATATAGGTACAATGTAAAACTTCTTAGGTATCTTTGACATGCAGGACAATAATAGAACTGTGGTAACTGTCACAACTGACTTAAGAGCTAATGACTTGTAGGCATATCTTAATTTCTAAATTCTAATTCCCTTAATACTCTCATCTGTGGTGTTTAGCATGGAATATTTTGTTCTTAAGAATGTCTGTAAATAATACCGACCTAGAGCTAGTTTTAAAAGTTAACATTTCAGTAGAAAGTATTGATTCTTGTGAGGTGTGATTGCAAACATTTACTGATGCATTTAAATGTTAAATATTTTTCTACTGGGTTATGTTTTGTCTTTTTTCATCTTTAAAAACTGCAAAAACATTTTATAGAGACAATGTTAATTAAAAATGTTTAATGTTTGATAATCTAATCTCTGTTTTAATTCAATGAGTAAAATACTACTACTTAAGTAATGAACAGCAGCAGTCCAGATTGACCATGGTGAATGGGAAGGAGGTGTCATTCAGGTAACAGAGACAGGCTGACTCCAAAGGAAGGGGAGGGTCTGTCTTGGCCAGCAGCCCTAGTACAGTTAAGAAGGTCAAAGCTGCAGTCTCAGGCCATTCTTTGCATAACACTCTGCACATGTTCATTTTTTTTTAATTTCAAATTATGTATGTATGACTATTGCTTTTCCTTGTTTTTTTCAATCAGCCCTTTTCTAAACAACTTTTTTATCCTAATCCTTTAGAAGTATTGTTTTAAAAAGAGAAAACTCTTAGAATGTTCTACTAAACAGTTTTATTGAAAAACTATTAAAGTGTAGTTTGGCACTACAGCATGGTAGGTCCACAACTGGCTGGCTAATCACACTCCACAAGGATCAGTATTAATGGTTCTGCATTGAGTCATTCACTCACTCACTCACTCACTCTTTCAGTTTATATGGCCACCCATCTCAAGTTCGTGCCTCTGGGCAGCTAACAATAGTTAAAAGCAACATAAAAAGCAAAGTCACCAGTAAGAAATTATCACAGCCATAGTACAGGCCCAGCCACATCTCCTGATCCCCAGGCCTGTTGATTAATTGGATTTATATCCCACCTTTATTTTATGCAACTCAAGGTAGTGTACATAATGCTCCCTCCAATTTTCCCATGACAGTACCCGTGAGACAGGTTCACCTAAGACCAGAGTTACCCAGCTAGCCTATGTGCCTAAGGGAGGACTAAAACTCCCAGTCCCACAGTTTCTAGTCCACCACCTTAACCATTACACCAAACTGGCTCTTAATTTGGAATTTGAAAAGTAATTTAACTTCAGTCTCAGGAAGAGAAGACTGAGGGAAGAGGTGGTATCAGTGTGCAACAGCAAAAATGGCCAGTTTTACCGCCACAGAAACTAAGACCAGAAATAATGGGTATAAGTTGCAGGTACCCACATTTTATTTAAATATAAGGAAAAAACTCAGTAAGATCTGGACAACAGTGGAACAGTCTACCTACAGTTGTGCATTCTCCACATCTGGAGATTTTAAGTGGCTGGATGGTCACCTCTCATGGTCAACGTAATTGATTTTCCTGCATGTTGCAGGGGTTTGGACTAAATCCTTCTGGTTCCCTCCAACCTTATAATTCAACAATTCTATGATTTTCTTAAATTTGGAGGGGTAGGATAGCTTTGGGCAAGTATCTTCTTAGAACTACACTTAAAGGAGGACCTGACTGAATGCTTTGTCACTCAAACAAAAAAGTAAAAAAAGTCAAACAGGATGTTCAGGCACAGACTTCCAGGAAAGGAATGGTGAACTGAAAAGCAGAGCTGACAACCACAGCAGAATGAAGAGCCAGTGAGTAGACTGTCTCTTTGTAATTCCTCTCTGGACCAGGAAAGGACTTGAGATTGCCCACAAGTATTCCAGACAGCTGCTACTCATGAGGAGACCACAAGACAGCAGTCTCCAGTGGGTCTACAGCTCTGGAAGACGAGGAAATAGCCATCTTGCTCAACCCACAGTCAGCTCCTGGGTTCACATACTTTTCTAACCATTTTTGGAAATTGTTTGTTAACTGCTTTTCAGCTATTGGGAACTGTTGGATCAACAAGTTTTCAATCCTTAGTGAAAGAAGTTTTAAATACAAGTTTCAGGACTTTTTCTTTTGGAATAAACAGCAAAAGGGTGATTAAAACTTTGGTTCTGGAAAGTTACAAATGGATTAAGAGTCCAGGTGGATTTGAAATAAGATTTTGGAATTAACTGTAGAAGATGATAAATTACATTACTAAAATTGTCTATACTTGTGACGGAGGAAGTCATTTCTTTATATATTTCTTTTATTCTTCTTTATTATATAATTTTTTCTTTTCTATTTTTTTCATTTCTGCACTGTTTTTTTTCCCCTTTTTCTTTTAATTTGCATTAGTTTTTATCTTTTTAATTGTAACTCTTAATAAAATTACTATTAAGAAAAGGATGTTCAGGCATGAATATGTCTACTGGGGTCCCATACAATTATTCTATTGTCATGGGGAAAAGCCAGCTCCATTGAAATGAGAAGCAGAGCAACGGAGAGTTGAGTTTGATTTTTATATATATGCAGGGATCACTGGGCCCCAGCCACAAACAAGCTGAGAGCCCTAAGCTTAGGTCAGTGAGGACTATATAGAAACAGAGAAAACGTGCTAATACTGCGTAATTAATTACATAGTACAGTCCCCAATTTTACATCACTAATGAGGCAAATACTTGGAGCCAAACCTAGGTTTTTCTGTTCCCCGGATCTGTCCCACTGAACAAGGAAGCTGGGCGTTGTTAGTTCCTGACTGTATACGGTTTATTGCAATGAGTCCACCTCCACGCTTCCCCTTGCTTAGCAAACTTAATTTCATACCATTGTATTCACTTCTTTGCCTCAGGGTTAACTGTGATTAGTTGCAGCGTCAGACAGCATTCTGCATTCTTGTTAATTGCATTACTGTACATAGGTGAACATCCTATATTAGTATTAAAATAGAAAGGATCCATTTTTAGTTTGTTTTGCTAGCGGAGAATAAAAGTGAAACTTATAAACCCCATACTTCCCCTGAGTTTGGGGGACTCAGAAATGCAGCAGGACAAGTAAGAATATTGCTTTGCCGCATCCCCAATCCCCAGTTGGCATTTTCGAAACATGTTTTTAAAATATATGGAATAATTAAAAGCTAAATCTAGAAATAGTAATGAGAAAGAGTTACAAAGTATAAGAAAAATAAATATTGTAATCCCCAACAATTAAAAAACAAAGCCCCCAAACCACGCGGAGGCTCCAAATTCTGCGGTACCTCGATCCCCAAGGAGGGCGCAGGGATTCTCAACAGATCACATGGGAGACTCACCCTGAGATTCCATCGGGAGGATAGATTCCACGCTCATCGAACCACGCAGCCAATGAAAATACCCGGACCGCAGAAGTCCATGCTGTGATTGGTTATCTCCGGACGGGTGGGCTCTTCCCGTGTAGACGAGACGGGCGGGGAATTAAGTACCGGGCACGGACGGGGTGTGCGTTGTGATTGGTCGGCTTGGTTTCTGTTTCCGGGTCTCTTAGCGCTTCCGGGTTAGGCTGCGGTAAACCAGTCTCCCGCTGTCTGGGCGACCTTGTGGCCTCAAGCGGGCAACGGCTTCGAGGAAGCAGCCGTCATGGTGTCTTATTGGAGGCAAGCTGGGCTCAGGTAAGTGGGTGGCTGAAGGGGGCGGCTCCGATCTTCCCACCCCCGAGAAGATGAGCAGGTTGGTCTTGTGAAGCCGCTAGTCCCCGGGTGCTTGGGCGCCGTAGGGAGGAAGCTACAACAGGGCTTCCCTAGTTCCTCTCCACCCTGCAAATTAAATCCTTCTAATACAGAAAAAGAAGAAAAAGCTCCCTAGTATAATTTCATCCCCAAACCTGTTATCTATCAAGGATTTGAAAGGTGGAAAATAACCCATGATCATCTGCAGACAATTGCGACAGTAGCTAACTACACCAGAAGATACGGTGAAAGCCGCCAACTTAGAGGGCTTTAACAGGGTTAAATATATTTAGAGCAAACAGAGTTATCAGTGGCCACTTTTCAGGACGGCTATACCACCTTCAGAACGTGCCTCTGAATAAATGCCTGAGCCACCGTGGACCAGCTCCCGTTTTATTAGAGGTTCTGGACCTTTATAATAGCTTCCTCCCGTCTCTTTCCCAGGGTGCTTTCCTTATTTTCCACAAGTGTTAACTCCAGCAGATTGTTACTCTTTTGATCCGCATTTCTTTTTCCTTCAGCTACATCCGCTATTCCCAGATCTGTGCAAAGGCAGTAAGAGCAGCACTGAAACCTCAGTTTAAAATAGAGGCAGAAAAAGCAGCAGGAGCCAATGTAAAAATTGTAAAACCCAAAAAGGAATGACAGGCAAGTAAGTAAGGAAGCTCTCAAGATTTCTGTTTCCCACAGATCTGTATATAGTTTTACAGCATTAAGCTGTGCCCTCAGTCTTATGTGGTACAAATTATCTGCGCAGCCATAAAAAAGGAATTTGCGATTTAAAGAGTGTTCAAGAACAGGACATTACTGATGTGCTTTTGCTGAATCATGAGATTTTGTTCAAACTCCAGCAAGAAATGTATTATTAGCATGGTAGGTGCTGAGGGGGTATGATTGTAAGGAACAGAATTGGATGTGCAGGAACAGTTTTACTGATTCTGCTGTTAGTAAGGCTACTCCAGTGGATTTTGTCATCTCAAAAAATGGGCAGGATTGTGCTTTTCTTGTTCTGTATACAAAAGCCAGCTGAACTGGAAATTCAGCACTGGAAGCAGCCAACATGTTAAGTTGTAGAGAAGTTGCATGCTGTAGAAGCTGCACGTTGCATGCTAAGTTACAGAGAAGCTGCATGCTCGGTTCTGCCTCATCCAACATCTTTTCATGTTCCTCATCCCTCATCTGTTCTTATTCAGCTTCATCATAGGTCTGCAGTAGTTTCCCAGTGCTGAAAACAGCAGGCATTTAAAAGTGGCTTACTCTCTCTGTAATGAAAATTGCTGTAGCAAATACAACAAAGAAAGATGCAGATTCGTGTATGCGTTTCAATGGATGTGGAAATAGCTTCAGTGTTTTTAGGTTCTCACCTTTTGCACATCAGCTCATTGACTCAATGGAATAACTTAACTGGATAATACTTAAAAATACAAGGGCTGGTACACTGATATTCATTCTAAAGCTGTCAGTTTTAATTCACATTCTGTGCTGCTGTAAATTCTAACTGCATATCTTACCTGTCTTTACAGGGCCCGTTCTCTTAAAAGAAAAATGGCATCTCGTGGGTATGCTTATGGACAGCCACTTCCCATTTTGTGAAATCACTGTATATATATAAATGAGCATGCCAATAAATGAAACTTAATACAAATTATTTTAGTGATTATGTTTTATCAAGCAATAATAAAATAGCTCTTTAAGGAATTAAGCAGTCAGTCTAGTTTTTATTGGACAGTGCCTTATTAAAAAGCTTTTTTCATTTTGATGTCTGTTTTTAACAACTTAAACAAGGTCGCAGAGGTTACAGATGTTTGAGTCCTTTCTGGTGGAAAAATATTATTGAAAATAAACAGCAAACATTCAGTGAAAGAAAATTCAGTTAAAATGTCTTAATCCCTTAAATCACCATGCTTGTCAGAATTAACTTCTGTTGATTAACATAACTTACTACCAAGTATGTAGATGAAGGTTTGCAGCCACATTTGCCTCAGTAGCTTTAACATTTGAAAAGCTGTAATTTAGCCTGGAATGAATACTGATGCTTTAAAACAAAAATATTTAAGTATACAATGAGATCTTTATAAAAGAAAATGTATTGGTAGTTTGACCTTTTGAATATTTAAAACTTAAAGTGTAGCAAATAAGGTCTAAATGATGCTCTTTTCTCATTGGTGAATCTGGACACATTCCAGTGCTTCTAAATTCCATTTACTTTTACTAGGAAAATTAAGCATGTTAAAAGCGGTCTAGTGGAAGAAATGAGATTTAAAGTGGCTTAACATTAGCTGGGTATTAAGGAAGTATTTCTTATGTTCTGATGCTTCCATATTCACTTGTCTTGTGTTTGCTGTTGAGCTTGGCAGTAGTATGGATGTTGCCAAGAAAACTGCATTTAGGATAAAAACCATTTTTAACCTATTGTAACAAGTAGTTTTCCTATATTAAAAGAGCAGCTTCAGCAGATAACCTCCAAAGCTGTGTTCAGTGAGTTCACAGTCCCTTAATACTGTAGAATGTTAGTTTTAAATGTTTTAGCACTGATGTTTGCTACATAGGATTTTCTGAAAAAGTTAGGTATCCTAAATTTTCAGCTGTGGTCGGATTGTATCTTTCAGTGAATTCCCAAGTGAAGAGAAGCTGCAGAACTGCTACATCGCACAAAGTTAAATATGACATTTTACTCTAAATTTGAATGCATGCTTCTTATTTGCATGCAGTTTACAGATTCAAAGGTTAGGTGCACAATGGATCACCAACAGTGATCTGTATGCGAGAACTGTCAGAAGGAAATCTTTTGTCCAGTTTCATCCCAAAACTGCATCTAAAGCGTGCAAAAGAAAAAGTTGATAAATCGGAAATGTTTTGGAACAAAATGCCTTGGATTGATGAAACAAAAATTGAACCGTTCAGCCGCCACCACATAAAAAGCATTTGAAGAAAGTAATACTTTGCCAGCCATTAAGATGGTGATTCATTATCTTTTACAGATTTGTTGAGGAAGTAAAACAGGAGGGGAAATTGGAAATGTTTTGCACATCTACAGTGACAACCTTCTCTGAGATCTTTGGGGGATGGTGGAAAAATCCAATTTGTACAAACTGTAACAGTGTAAACTCCAAGACATTTTTTAATTCATGGAAATGGACACAAATTCTGTTTAATCTAATTTTTATTGGATATTGTATAGTACAGTACTTGCATTGTAACATTAGCTTAAATAAAATCAAAATTATACTTGAGTAAAATAAATGGCAGCCAAGAGAAGTATTTCTCCTTTTTTCTGCTAGCAAAATCAGTTTTATACTATAGGAAAATAAATAGTTTGTATAAACATTCAACAGAAATTTGCACAATGCACTGAAGTGCACTTCAAGTCAGAAAAGCAAAACTGCAAGATAAAGAGAAATGTATGTTAATACTGTAGCTGGCAGTGTCTGAATTGTCTGGTGGAGGGGTGGTTTGGTGCAAAGCTTCATGTAATGCTACACTGAGAAGGAAGTTAAACTAGATGGCCTGTGTGTCCCCCTCTCCAGTTCTATGATTCTATAATTTCCTGAGCCTCTGGACCACCATAAGTTGGTGCCTTTGAGATGTGTTGAACTCCATCTTCAACATCTTCTGCCAGCATGTCATCTAGAACATCTAACATCAAATTGAGAAACACAAATTTATTTCTACAAGCAACTACAAAAAAGTACCCTTGAAAAGTCTTTGGTAGAGTCCTGAAGCACCTTAAAGGCCAATAGATGTATTATAGAATGCATTTTCTGTTCTATAAATTAAAATCCTATAGTTAATAATCTTGTAAATCATGCTATCACATTTTTATAAGGAAAATATGTACAAATTACCACCATCCCTTGCATTTCAGGACTTTTACTCATACCACTGAAAACTCACTTTTGCCACACACACACACAGAATACTTAAAATATGTCCTGATACATTTAGTAGCACTTCCTCTTTGCTTTAGTGAATTTGCAATGAATTAGCCTAAAATATATGGTTTAAAGTGTCAACTCTGTGGCCATGCTCTTCCTACTGAAATAATAATTAACTTCTTAGCAATGGCATTGGTAGTGTTAGGTAGTCATCTTAATTCTGTGTTGATATTTGGGGGTCATTCAATGAAGATAACTAATAGTACATTCAAGACAAAAAAGTATTCACATAATACATAAATGTGTTACATTAATTGTTCAAAAGGGAAATAACTCATCACTTTTAGAACTCTTTAAATGATTGGATAAATTAATAAGAACTAGATCTATCAATGGCTTTTAACTGTCATGGTTAAATAAAATTTCTCTGTTCAAAGGCAATTGACTTATGTTTATAGACAATGATGAGGGCTATTGACTTCATGGTTGTTCCTGCTTTTGATTTAATAAAAGTTCCTTTTGGAAGTGAATCCAGCCATTTTAATTGGTGATAATCAGCATATTATATTAGTAAAGTATCGTTATTTTTAAAGACCAAAGGTCAGGCATTGTTCTTCCATTTAAGCTGCTTCCTTTTCTTCTTCCCTGACCTCCTCCTCCACTTCCTCATATTCTTCTACGTCTGCTCTTGCATCCTGATACTGCTGGTACTCGGAAACCAAGTCATTCGTGTTGCCTTCTGCCTCAGTAAATTCCATTTCATCCATCCCCTCAGCAGTGTACCAGTGGAGAAATGCTTTTCTTCTGAACATGGCTGAGAACTGATCAGAGATACGACTGAAGAGTTGCTGAATGGCTGTGTTATTGCCTATGAAGGTGGCAGACATTTTTAGCCCACGGGGAGGAATATCACAAACAGCCACTTTGACATTGTTGGGGATCCATTCCACAAAGTGACTGCTATTTTTAGTCTGCACAGACAATAGCTGCTCATCCACCTCCCTCGTAGACATCTGGCCTCTGAAGATGCATGCCACAGTCAAATACCGCCCGTAACGTGGGTCACAAGCTGCCATCATATTCCGAGCATCGAACATCTGTTGTGTAAGTTCTGGGACTGAGAGAGCTCGGTATTGTTGACTGCCCCGAGCTGTTAGTGGAGCAAATCCTGGCATAAAGAAGTGAAGTCTGGGGAAAGGCACCATGTTGACTGCCAACTTCCTCAAGTCTGCATTGAGCTGGCCAGGAAAGCGAAGTGAGGTAGTGACACCACTCATGGTGAGAGACATCAAGTGGTTTAGGTCTCCATAGGTTGGTGTTGGGAGCTTCAGTGTTCTAAAACAGATGTCATACAGAGCTTCATTGTCAATGCAGAAGGTTTCATCTGTATTCTCTATCAACTGGTGGATAGATAAGATGGCATTGTATGGTTCCACAACAGTGTCTGAAACTTTGGGTGAGGGCACTACACTGAAAGTGTTCATGATCCTATCAGGATATTCTTCTTTGATCTTGTTAATCAGAAGAGTGCCCATTCCAGACCCTGTCCCACCACCAAGAGAATGAGTGAGCTGAAAGCCCTGGAGGCAGTCACATCCTTCAGATTCATTCCTCACGATGTCCATTACACTTTCAATCAATTCTGCCCCTTCGGTATAATGACCCTTTGCCCAATTGTTACCAGCACCTGAATTTCCTGTAAACATATAGTTATAAAGAAAGCTGGCTAAATGTCAATTGAATAACCAGCAATTTATTTGAAAAGTTACTCTACCCAAATGCAAAAAGCTAAGTTCTAAAACAAGGTAGGACCTGAAGCGGTCCTCCTAAATGCTAGTAAGATATTAAGAGGTGGTTGAAAATACCCTATAACGTGGAGAAGAGTTAATGTTGTCAAAACGAATTTTGTATCAAGACTTAAAAAAAAATTCCCCTTTCACCCTACGGGTGGTACGTGTCTTCCTCAATCTCGGGTCCTCTACCAGAGGCCTGGGAGTTTGGGGGTTCTGCGCAGTATCTTAGCTGTTCCTAGCACTGCACTCTTCTGGACAAAGAACTCTGATATATATTTGAGAGCAAAGCCTATGTTGGTTCCACTTAAATATTTTAAGTGGATTGATAACAATTAATTTTTTTATGGAAGGAGCGAATATCCAGGAGTCCCCTATTAAAATTACACCTCTCTGAAGATGGTGGTGGTTTCAGTTTTCCTGATTTTTAGCAGTATTATTGGCCTAATGTCAGTTACATACTAGAATAGAAATGATATTATTTGCTACTGTGGGCTCAGGTAGAGAGTTACTCTTTCATACCCTTGTGATCTGGGCAAATTCTTGGTTCTAATCATAGCAGGATTTAGGTTACTTTTCCAGCATTGAAGCCAGTCAGATATATCTGAGCCTTGTTTATCTAAAAATGCAGAACAGTTTCATCTCTAGGGAATATTCAGAAAGTTGTCATCTTTAATTATTTTCTTGCTAAAAATCAACAAAATTTTCAGCCCCTAGTCCAAAACCTGCAGCTAACATAACACAGTAATTAATTATATAAAGAATGATGTGGGTATCTTATGTGGGAAGAGTTGTAACAAAAGTTATAGAGGCAAGGAAAGAGACTTGAGGAAACATTCCTCTTAAGATTAACGATCTCCTCATCTTTGAACATTTTAAATAAGTCTGCTGTGATCTGTTTAGGCTTTCACTATAAGCATGAAAACCAGAATTAAGTTTTCCCTCATAAAAACTAGGCTGTTAGGTGTTCTGAAGCCATGATTAAAGGTATTGATATCTTAGTGAGTCAATGGGTTGAACATCAACTATGTCACTTCTGTGAATATCAGTTTGTTAAATTATGTTTGTAAGTAATGTCACATGCATACCGTGAATGAAGTTATCAGGCCGAAAGAGTGGACCTATTTTGCTGGACCGCACGCTGTCCATTGTTCCAGGCTCCAAGTCTACCAGGACAGCACGAGGAACGTACTTATGAGCTGCAGCACAAAAGATCAGAGATATGATAAATAATCACCTGTAGGCCTCACCTGAACATTTCCTAAGTCTACAGATTTCATTGAAAATGCTCCAGCAAAAGCAGAAGTCACCCAAACCGTGCTAGAACAAACGTAGTAGGATTTATTAGTATTTTCCTTAAATTGGAATGTAAGCAGTTTGGGCTGAGGAATCAACATGTTGTTGACATTATTAGAGCATAGGTTGATTCATTTTGGAAGCTTCTCAAAGTCTACTGGCACTCTAAGATGACCTTCAGCCAGGGAAATACCAGTTCAAAGTGGGGTTAGCAAACTGGCCCCCAACACATCAGTCCCACCCTAGGGTGATCCACCCTATGACCTTTCTAAAGGGGCACAAGAATGGGCAAGGATGCCATGTTGAACAACCCACTGCTAATTAGGAATAGACTTAGGAAACCTGCTGGAACACTGTCCACATTCTTCATTCCCGTAGCATATCTCTGTGACTAATAAACAAAAACATTTGAAAAAGCTAATATACGTGGGGACAGTCCTGGCAGTTAGCAAGAGGAGCATGAAATGTTTATGAAATGCCCTCTATGTCCATTAGATGGCAATGTATCTAAAGCTATGAACACCTGGGGAATTTATGTTAAGTTGGTGAAATACACTTAGGACTTTCATTACAGTAAGGAAATAATTACATCCACACAATCTGATCATAGAAATGTATTTTGGAAGGAAATATCAAATATCTTCAAAGAGGTTGATGACTTTAAAATGCTGCAGACTTTACAACCATATCTTCTCCACTGTACAGTAAAGAAAGGAATTTGAAATCCAAAATGATTCACCGGCTGTATTTTGAGATAATATATACAGCTGTGAAATATCAAATGCACTATAATCCTAGAGAGCTTCATGGCTTGACTCAAAGATAAATGATAATAGGATTGCCATTCTTGTCTCTATTGCAAATTACCTCTAGAGCAGTGTTTTTTCAAACTTGGCAACTTTAAGATGTATAGACTTCAATTCCCAGAATTCCCAAGTCAATGGGCCAGATTTGGCCCCTTACTGTAGTTTGCCGACCCTAGTCTAGTTTTTGATGTTGCAGTTCTCACATAAAGCAGTTTCTAGGCGGGGGAAGATTCATTTGACAGTTTTTATAAGAAGTAGATTTCATGGCAGTGGAAGATGACAAAGCATATTATTATTATTATTATTATTATTATTATTATTATTATTTTATATTAATACTGTAAGACACTCTGAATCTTTGGCATCGAAATTGTAGTAATAAGTAAATGATAAGCATGTTCTATTTTTAGCCTCTGTAATTGCATGTGCAAGCAGATTTGCTTGCCCAATTACTTACAGTAAGCTTCATTGAAATACACATTAATTCTTTCCTGCTGCAATGGTGAATCACCGTGATAATTTCCTGTGGTATCAATTCCATGCTCATCGCTGATGACTTCCCAGAACTGAAATGGAACAAACAAATTCAAAACATACAAGCATTCCACCTGGTTATTTATTTCTTTATTGATGGGCCTAGTGAAGTGGTGAGAGGCTTTGATCTCTGGCATTCTTGCATGGAGCAGCAGCCATAGAATTTGAGTGAGCTCTCTTTTCTCCATCGGCTTAATATGTACATGCATGAATTTCCCTCACCCCACTCGCCAGTAGGAAGCCAAGGTAAGACAAATCAGATAAAAATAGCAAGGTGAGTCAAATCAGGAATCAACAGCTACTTCTCTCTGCAATCCTGAAACTGAAAATTGGTTACTTGCCACAAGTTAGCAGAGCAACCTTGCTTTGCACATGTAGATTTGAATTGCTTTGGGTCGTTGTGAATGCTTAAGATGTCTTCCAACAGCTTTCCATGTACTTCAAGGTTCTCATTCATCCTGGTTTCCCTCCCCAGTGTTCTTTCTCTCTTTCCCCCCTACCCGTTCCCTCTGTGTGGTTACTAAAAGTCAGTGCCAACTTGGCAACACTTAATCCATCAATTCCTCCTTGCGCAATCTTGAGAACTCTTTCTCAGGTTACATGTTAGTAAAACTAGGTGGGGAGGAGGGAGCAGAGAGTAGACTTCTGCATTTCATGGCATCCAGCATCATCAGTGCAGAACAGAATGGGACCAGGTTTAGTGTGGGGCGAGATAATGACAAAAAAAAGATCAAGTTTTAAAATGGGCCAGATTTGGCCAAGGGCTGTGGAGAAAAACATTCCAGAAAAAAGATTCCCTCCCTATGCATCCCTCTGGCAGAGGCAATCGGGCGGTGGCTTGGAATGTTCACGATTGCTTCATTCTAAGTTCCTCCTTTCTGGTCATGTGACCTAGAGCAGAGTGTGTGCAGCCCGCCCTGTGCGCCCATGTACACAAATACACACAGTGGCAACATGAGTGAAGAGCAGAAATTCACCCACACCCACACTTACATTGATGCAACTTCTTTATTATAAACAAGAAAATAGAGATGCTTGCTATACTCATGACTAAGGGTTGGAAAGTATTCCCGAAGCTGTGCTATGCACATTTTACTACCTTGTTTAACTTTCCTCCCTATTCCTGAAATCAGGTTTTATAACATCTTTTATGATCTTTGAAATGCATGGTATACTATTCTTATTATTGATGGTCGTGATATGTATTATTTATTATTAATTCTTCACCAGTAATTTGTTTCGACAAGACTTCCAGTAAGAATCAGTAGCACAGTGACAGCAGGGAGGCAGACCTTTTGCTACACACAAACATTGACTTGGACTAGAAGGCAGCACTGGATTCTTACCCCGCAATGCCTATCTATGTGCCCACTTTGAAATCCAGCCCTGCTGTGTCTTTATCTGGGACTGTGAGGCTGTAAATACAAGAACGCCCTCATTTTGCAACTACAAGTGTTCTAAACATCTCTTGTCTTTCGTTTGCAATATATAAAGCACTTTGTTTATTACAAACAGCCTCCAGTTCAAAACTGGGATCTGTAGAAAACTGTCTTGGTGAATTAGACCATGTTCCCCAACAGTGGTTAGCAAACACAGCTGAAGCAAAGCATGAAGATGGTTCATTCTCCTTCTTTCTGAGTCCCTGGAATATGCAGTTCAAGAGAGATTTTATTTCTAGAAGTTTTGCTGAGTTCTTATAGGTAGCTGTTTCCATCATCATTAAGAATACTTAGGACTGACCTGCATCAGGATACAGTTGGATATTGCTATTGTCTATCAACTATGGTTAGAATAAAATTCTTCAGGATGTGACCTATATCAGGCCTAGCCTTTGGCTGCTTATTTTACCAACTTCCTTGTTTCTAGGTTGCCTTAGATCAATCAAACTTATTTGTAACAAAGAGAAACGCAGTATTTGTTTCAAACTTTCTTCCTTCACAAAAAGAAAGGAGTTCCATAATCTTAATTTTAAAATATAATTTACTACCAAAGGAATAATCACCATCAAAAAAGTGGGATTTACTGCTGAGTGAATATACACCAGAGACTTTCCCAGCCTGGTGACTCCAAATGTCCAGCTCCAATAATTCTTTGGCAGGGAATGGTGGGATCTAAAATCCAGTAGATCTGGAAGTCCATCACTTTAGTGGCTGATTAATGCTGTAATGCTGTTTATCTAATCTGGATCTTTATTAGAAGAGATGGGTGATGATTCCTTTGAAAAACTCAAGCACCACCAGAGTATTTTGTCCAAAGTATGGACAAGCCTTTCAGAAGTGCTGGGAATACTCCACCATGGTGGGAACTGTGATCACTCAGCCTTTGCCATTTTTAATAAACGTATTGTGTTCTCCTTGCTTTTCTATTAAGGCAATTATTTCACACAGGCACCCATTTAATTCTCTACTCACACCACAAAATGTCTTTAAAGAAGGATTCAACAAATGAATGGAGAAAAAAAGATCTAAGGGTAATTGTCATATTTATGTGCTGTTTTCCAGAGGTAGTGTGTCTTTGGGTACCAGTTGCTGGGAAGAAGTGAACACCTCCTTTTCAGTTGTACCTACAGGCTTCCTTGAGGCATCTGGTATAAAACAGGATGCTGGTCTAAATGAGTCAATATTTGACCTGAAATTATAATCTCTTCTGATATGTTGAAAACTTACATTTTAATAGATTTTGCATGTGGATCAAACAGTAATAGCATCTTCACCCAAAGTTGTCCAAATTCCCATCATACTTTGTTGGTATAAACTATATCTCATTATCTTTTAGTAGGTTAACGAAAGCAATGTCCTACCTTAGCACCAATCTGATTTCCACACTGGCCGATCTGGACGTGCACAATTTCACGCATCTTGCCTAGGTCCAGCAACAAAGACGGGCTTCTCTTTTCCAGATGCTCTCTCTAAAAGAAAGACTCACTCATCCCCTGTAGTGTCAGCTATAACCACCCTTATCATCTGCCAAACGTGGCTTCTACAGCAAATGCAAGCAACAGCATCAACATGGGGAGGTCTGGCACCTCCTACTCTGCTGACTAACAAGAGCTCTTCTAATATGGCATTTATAAGAAAGTCCCAAAGAAGGAGAACCTCCTATCCATGTAATCTTATACACAAGAACTCTGCCCATCCAGCCCAAGCTATACAACCCCACTGTGTCTTACAATAGCTATTCGCATTTCCAAACGTTCAACTAAGGTTGAGGTGCTACTAGAAGGTCAGGTGTTTATCTTTTATCCTAGCTCACTGACTTGAAATAGCAACAGTGCATGACCATGTATACCACATAGCATCTGGTCTCCAGCTTTTATTGATAATGCAAGAAGATCAAAGCACAAGACCATCAAACCCAACATTTTGTGTCTAATGGTTCAGTCAGATCCCAGCCAAGTCAGACACAGAGCTTGTTATAGCCATCACTAAAGACTGCTCTTCAGAAGATAAGAAGAAACCAGAGGGCCCTTGGTAGCAATGGATTTATTGATCCAGGATCAGCAGAGCAAGGAAGGAAGGAAGGGCCAGCTTCTATGCGGCTCCAGATTCTTGCTGGATTCCTTGGAACAACCTCTAAACCATTGAGAATTGTTGCTGGATAGAAAGTCAAATGACTATGAGGCGCAGAAAGTGAGATTGGAAGAAAAATCTCCTTGGGAGTCATGGTTTATCAGGAGTCAGTCTTAGGTTGCCCTGCAATCCAATTTATTTATATTCATGCTGGTTGTATTGGGGATTCAGGCTTGTATAAATCTATCTATTCAGGAGTGACCCAATGTTGGAAACCAGCTTTGTACCTTGCAGGCTCCTTTGACAAGCTGTCTTGAACCCTACCCTGAACATCTGCATTGTCTTCTTGGCCTCTGAAACGTGTACTTTGATTTTTCTCTTTGTGAAATTCTGGCTATACAGCTTCTGGATTGTCTCTAGCCTGGATTTACTGTTGTCTACAGGTTGACTATTTGGGAGACTCCTTAGCCCATATAATTATATGTGCTTCCTCTTTTCTAAGCCCACTGGCTAAGACAAGGCAAAGATAGTTCTTCCATTTTGGCTGTCCCATGATTTATAGGCTTTGGATTTGGAGAATCCTTGTAGTTTTCTCCTGCTATTCTGTTCTTGGGTATGCATCAAAAATAGGCAAACTTTGTTGGGGGGGACAGTGAACCTCATTGAAATTTTGGATGCATGTCCTGGGTGCTCTCACAAAATGTCTGCCATGAAAGGACAGCTTGCCCATTCTCTAAATGGCTGCCACCTTGAGTGTGGCTAATCCTTTCCCAGGAAGTAAACTAGTAGGAATATCCTTGCCATATTCCCCCACCCCAGCTGTTTATCTCTTCTTTTCCATGACCCCCTTAATGCTCCATGTCTTTGCTGAGACAATGTCATTCTGAAAACAGAAGCATTTCTGTTACGGGGAAGCCATAGCAAAGCATGTTCCCCTTTGATAGGGAGAGGTCTGTTTATCTTTGAGCACCACGCTTCCCAGAAGTTTTGGCCTGGGGTTGCAGTGAGGCTGCAAATGTGTTATCCTTCCTTGGCTGCAGAATGGGACAGTAGCTGTTCAGGCTCCAGCTTCATTATAGGAAGGACAGCAGAGAAAGAGAAGTGAAGCATTTATTTTTAATTGCACACCGGAACTTGGAGCAAATTCTGATAGGACAAATATAGTAATTATGTGCCAAGGGATCTAGCAATGACTGGAGGCCAGAAAGGATGGTAGGGAAGAAAGATAATTTAATGTAAAAGATGTTGCCTTGAAAGGCAGAGAGGACTGTCAGAGCGCCTGTCACCCCCCTTTTCTTTCAAAGGGTTTTTAAAATGGGTGCTGCTTCATTCACAACCAACTCTAAGATATCATAGCAGGCATTTTGGAAAACCAAATGGAAGACACATGTTTAAGTCTCTACCTGCCCTGTCTGCTTACTGTTTTCCAGCCTGATTTCACATATTTGTTCTTTTATTGGAACCGAATAGAATCAGCTCAGCTGTCTGTGGGGGATACAAATGTGAGAACTCAAAGACGTGGTACCACTGCAAGGAATTTAACCAACCGACACCGTAGGCTACATCCAAATTTCTTGGCTTGAAAAGATTATGGAGATGCAACAAATTAAAAATTGCATGATAAAATGGATGTAAAACTTCAAAGAGGTCATCAGAGTAGAACAATGGGAAGAGCTATGGAAAAATCAGTAAAATGTGCTCCAAGCTATAATTTGAGGGGAAATTGATACAAAATGTTTCACAGGTGATATATAACTCCTTCAAGGCAAATTCAGACACTTGAGATATGCTTTTTAGGAGAAGAGTTAAGAGACCAATCAAAAATAGTAAATGAAAAGACTTAGATATTAGCAATAACCTCCAACATTTAACATTCAAAAAACAGTACAAATGCTTATGAAGTAGTTAGCAATTGGGGAAATACATGGAAGGGAAGGGGAGAATGTGTTACAAAGTTTTTTTTCCTCCCATAATGTTTTTACTTACGTTTATTAGTAGTTCTTTATCTTCTACTTTGCTTTTTGTATCTTTGTGTGATTTCTGTTTAAATAATCTGTCAAAGTGTATGCAATTAAAAAAAATGAGCTACATTTTTCCTGATGAGAATTTGCTACCACATTTAAGGTCTACACCCAGTAGTGATCACCCAGACATTTCTAGGAAATTCCATGTAGGCAACAGCCCTCTGCTATTTGTTATAAATAACAGGTATTCAGTGTAATATGATACACTGTCTCTGATGATGAAGGCTCCATTTATGATCAAACTAGCTAATATGGATAAAAGATGGAGGTTAAGCATTTCCAGTGGTATCATTTGGATAATCAAAACTATTTTCTTCAAGTTCATATTCAGTGCAGAGTACAGAAAAGACAACCATCTATTTGTATTGTATCAGTGTCACCTGTCAGAGTCTGACATCACCACACCTACACTCTTCGGTAATCATTAACAGCAGCATAGCAAGGGTGTGGATAGTACAATCAAAACTCTGCCCCTTTTTATGTGTGTCACACATAAAAAGCGAGCAGATTCAATTGCACTGTTGTAGCTGCCATCTTGACTTTTTTAACCATAACCTGGGAACACCCTGTAGCACGGGGAGAGTATTAAATCTCTTTCCCCCAAACCAGAGGCCACTGTTCATGCTGCTGTTAAGAGAGCAAGAGAGAGAGAGAAAAGCCATAGGCCATCATGGATTTCTGGTATCAAAGATCTGTTCACCCCCTTCTTCCATAGCAACTGTTCACAGTGGGTTGGTCTACTTTTTTATATAACTTATTGCCCATCTTGTTATCTGCAAGAAGTTATGGGCAGTTTAAAGAAGTTTGTTATATATGGTAGTACCAAATCTGCCACTAGCTCATCTAATAAATGTTCTTTTTCTACCCTGCAAACAGAAAAAGCAAAACCCATCTCTTCTACCACAGCCCAGTCTTTCTCTCCTTCTCCCTCCCCCCACACTTTTCTGAACTTTGTTTATTAGGGAGTCACTGTACACATGGCATATTCCTTTTAAAGAAAAAACAAATTTCGCAGAATCACCTCTTCAGCTATATCCAGAAACACACTGCTGTTGGCACTCAAGTGAACTGCCCTGGACCTTATCAACAGGCAGCACATGAGCAAAGTCAAAAGATGAAAATTAGCTTAACAAAACAGATCTGGGTCACAAGTTTTCCAAAAGTGTTGGCATTTTTGTTCTAAGATCTAGAGCTGTTCTTTTTGAAAATATCTGGCACCTTCCAGAATGCCAAGACTAATTGTACTTTCAAAATCTACCTAGTCTGTGGAAGAAAAAGGGACTCACTTATAACATCTCCAATAAACAGAGGATTAAAAAATATTAAGAAATAGTTGTCTTTTTCTATTGATTGACCGCAGGAGGGGCAGGTTAGACTGACGAAAGCAGTGACAGGAAATTGTGATGTAAACCCCTCTCCTTTTTTACATGCATTGCAATATCACACACATGACCAAAAGGAACAGAAATTGTAATGTGATGCCTTGAAGTGGCTTTCATCTTTGTGATGAAAGCAGTGTGACCCTGTGGCTGCTGCCGTTTTTCACCCAAAGTTTCCAGTTCATAGCTGAGTAGATAGATCAGGTTGTGTTCCCACACACATACCTCCAAGGAACCCCACTGCTTACTTCTGAATAGACATGTACAAAGAATGTCTCCTTTAAATCACGCTCAATACCTGACCTGGACACATTCACATAGTTTTCTTGGCATTAATACCCAAGTAACTTGCTACTGCCTCCTTTCAGGATGTTTCAATTTTCCAATCAAGCTTCTAACACTGGGAATTCTTAATGGTTTCCCATCCAACTCTTAGTTTTAAACGCTAGCTCAGATCAGCTGGATATTGCAACCCCACTGGATAGATGGGGTACCAACTGGTAACAAGTGCAGCTTTCAAAGTAGTGGTGTTACTCAGACAAATTTGGGTAGCCCCTTGAATGCATCCTTTATTCAGCTCAATGTCAAGATAGCAACTGAGTATCATCGACATAATGATGGGTTTGAATCCCAGAGAGGACTACCTTTTTAAAACAATTAGCCACTGTAAATGCAAAATACATACATATGTTTAGATACAGAATCAGCTACTATAAAGTTACACCCATCTATTCACAGTTCTGTAATTCACAGCTGAATGGCTTTCTTCTGTTGAGGACTGTATGTAATCCATTGGTGTAATCCATTGGGGACAACAGGTGATCCTAACTGAACCAAGCAATGGTTAAAACCTGAGCCAAAAATGGCTAGGGACATTCATTCCATCTCTAACACTCCTTCTTCCGCTTTCTGATCTCTTTTTCCTTTCTGATAATTTTTTCCCTCTCCTAAGAAGCAGGTTGCATGGAAAGGACAATTATGTTGTATCAGAAGCCACAAACTCATTGTACGCAGAGGGCTTTTGAATTTAGACCAAGGGAAGCATGTAGCCACAGATTACCCACCCCTGCTATCAATCTGATTTATGCAATATACAACAAAAAACAA